TTTTTTTTTTTTTTAAATTTTGTCCCCAGAGAAAAAAACTGGCCAACATCTGTTATTTTCACCTAACCTCTGCCATGTTTTTCCAGCAGCGGTCATGAACCTGTCATGAACATTATGTACATGTCATAAACGTTTATGACTGCTGTCATTAAGTGTCATTCGGTTTTTGTAATGACAAGTTGACATTGTTTGGGTTGTCTTGATTATGACAACTTGACATTAATCAAAGTGACATTGCCAGAAAATGTCTTTGTGTTAATGTCAAGTTGTCATTATAAGGACATCCCAAACAAATTTAATGTCAACTTGTCATGACAAAGACAACTTATGGTAATGCTGCTGCTCCGACTGCTGACCATGGTGATAAGCAGGCAAAATCAATGAGCCAAACAACAACAACAACAACAACTACCTTCCTGTTGTTTGTAGAATACCAGCATGCACCTGTCCCGTTTACCTGACGCAGCATCTTTTCCTCACATCCCCTCTCGTGCCCCCCTGAGGAGACGCACCTCACAGTTTGATCATCTGCGTGTTTAGGCAACAAAAGCATTTTGGTTGAGATGAGTTTTGGTTAAATGCTAATATATCTTATGTTGTACTTAAAGTCACTGTTGGCTTTTTAATTCTCAAACCAAGAACACAACTTTCCCTCACCTTTACCAAGTGCTTTGAGTATCTAAAGAGAGCTATAAAAAGCATTAGCTGTGCGGAAGGTGCTAATGACAGGATGTTATATTCCAAGAGACACTTCCAGGGGTTTGTAGGGAAAACAATTAAATGTGTTGTAAGTGAAAATCAGCATATTTGTCTTGTCTCATTATGTTTATAAAAACACAGCCAAGGTGTTGTGTCTTACAGTAAGTACTTACATATAAAGGTAATTTTAAAAGTCAGGGTTGCACCACACTGACGATGTTTTGTTTCTTAGACACTAAAACGTGGGCAGACGCATCTCTGTGACCTTCCTTGCTCTTAGTTTTACAATCCCAACGTTATCTGTCATTTCCCAAGAAGTTTTTCTTCAAACGTTTCTGAGGTTGGTTTCAGTAAATGAGATTTTTTTTTTGGGGGGGGGGGGGCTGTAATTACACTTGAAGTGACAGGCCTAAAAAAATACTTTTTTTCTAGTGCCTTTAAAAAGCGGGCTCTTCAGCAGCAGAACTGGAGCTGGCACGACTTACTTTGTAGCAACACTTTCAGTCCAAATAACTATGGGGATGAAAATTAATGAAGAAGCTGCTGTATATTTTAACACACCACAGGAGACATACAATACAACGGGTATTTTTTTTAACATGGTGTGATGTCATGAATCCCATCTAAGGCGAAAGATGTGTAAATTGAGTTTTTTCTTTCTTTCCTCAGGCCCACCTGTGAATGTCACCTGTAATATTTTCATCAACAGCTTTGGGTCCATCACGGAAACTACAATGGTAAGAAGACGTTGGATGTTTCACGTATTTTCAAAAGGCAAATGTGTTTAAAATCTTGTAATGATATGGTTTATATTTAGCTTCATCACTCCCATTACTTATATATAGAAATCTTGAAACACTCCATCCTCTTTTTTTCCCACCAACTTCTTTGCTAATCCACTCAGTGCTGAAGCTGTTCCCTCATTTCTGTGTTTCGTGGAGCATAACAGTGCAACCTTCAGAGACCAATGGGTCACTGACATGCTGATAATGAACTGTCCACTCTGCAATTAAAATGAAAAATTGAGAAAATGGATGAAAAGAGGTATGGGAGAGAGGACAAGGGGTTCAGGGAGAAATAGCTGTCCTCAAGTCTGCATTTACAGTGTTATAGCTGCTGGGTCAGCACAATACAGCAGTGAACTGTTTAAAGGTGTGTGCAAGGGAGCCCCAGAGGGTCAGACCTCCAGTCAGGTCAACCCACAGAACGACAACAGTAATGATGTCATTGTATGTGCTGGTGGAGCATGCTTTTTATTCTGATAAATGAAGTGAACAGGCAAGAAAAGGAACAATGTGCAGTGCCCAAAGATGAATTCTGAATTAATTGCTCAGATTAGAATTCTAATTTAATTACTCATGTATGCTGGCTGCAGGCAGGAGTGATTGTGTTCGGTTCTTGTCCTTGGCATGGCTTGCATTGCCAACCCTCTGCTCACCAGCAGCACATGGCTGCGACGGTTGAACAAACAGTACACCGTCTCATTCAATCAGTCACTTTTTGGAAAATCTGATGAATATGGCGAGGCAGGGGCATTTCAACAAGAGTGATGCCTTCATTATCCTGAACCACTGAAGTTACATAACAAAGATGGATCATCTGTAATAACTCCAGTGCTTGCACCAGTCATTATGACTGGGAGATATATAAATGGTAAACACTACAGTAGCCAAAATCTTTTATTACAGTAGGGCTGCCCCTGACTAAGAATTTTCCTAGTCCACCAATAGTCGTCATTTAGGACCATTAGTCACCTAGTCGTTTGCATGTTTACGATATTAATTTAATAATTAAACTATATATTTTGTGCGGGGCAACACAATGGTTTGAGTTGAAGGTGTGAGATAGAATAGTATCAGTAACATTGTTAACACTGTGCTACATTACAGAGAAATACAAAACCGTACTAATGAACCTTCATTAATATAGGCCTGTATTTTATCTACAAGTGCACGTCACACACTGAGCGAGCCGCCTGTTAATGACGCTGTTGGCAAAGCAGTAATGATTGTGCTAAGTGGCTAATAGGCATGTAGCTACTTCCATGTTTCAGATGATGCGTCATGTTTGTAGTCGACCAATAAAGATGAGTTTACATATCACCTTGGGTTCGTCCTTCACCTTCTCAAAATGATCCCACACTTTGGATTTCCTGCCCGACATGTTATTAACTAGCCTGTGGAATAACCACAGGTACCAGCCCTGGAAATTAATGTGACTGAGTGCGGCCACTTCCTGTCTCTGTCCTTTCAAATTAAACCCCCACATGGTCCAGTCATATAAGTTTTAATTTATTTTGATAAGGCGCAGCTCCTAATAGGGTTTCACGTTTTTGTTTTTTTGCTGATTTTTTCTCCGACTAAGTGACCAATGAAATCTTGCTGATTAATGACCTTTCTGGTCGACTAACGTTTGGTCAACTATTAGAGGGCAGCCCTATGTTATGGTGTATGTAATTTTATATAACAGTAATGGTATATACGCCCAGTAGGGCCGGGTATTGTTTAATAAATTATGATACCAGTACCATTGCCAGTTCCCTTAATGTGATACCAATACCAGTACAAGTGCTTCATTCGATGCCCATAATATGAATGGAGTGGTTTGTAGTACAGTCATACTTTGGAACGTTTTGGTGGCATTTCATTACGTTGAACTGCCAACTCTTCCAATACACCATACTCAACTTCACCACACCACAGATTGTATGAGTTGTGGCTGTTGCTGCGGGAGTGTGAGCTCTCCGACAGTTGTGAGAGTCTGTACAGCTGCAATGACAGGGCTAACTGTTAGCATCACATGGCTAACGTTACCTAATGGTTATTAATGCATTTAACAACAGGGTTAAGCCGTTTTGGTGTTGGTGTAAGCTTGTTGGGAGCATTGAATGGCTTTGTGTTGGGTGTTAGCTGCTGTTGTTGTCTTAGCTTGTGCTAACCAGGTAGACGTTGCACTGACTGTTCGTCGAGGAGAGTGTTTCTGGAGATAGCTACAACAGAATGTTTGGTGTCAGGACAGTCTGGGATCAGACCCCCAGTGCACAAAGGATATAATGAAGGCTTTGTTTGACTGGAGAAGTTTAGATATCGCTTGGTATTTGGTTATTTCAATAGATAGCTTAAAAAGGTAACAAGCCAATACCAATACCCAGCCCTTATCATGATACTGTAAATGTTCTGTAAATTCAATTAAGAAATGGTTTAAAATAACCATACTGTACTTTACCAGATTTGATTATGTTCTTCTTTTGTTTTGAACTTCCTATAAAAAAAAAAAAAAAACTGCTTCACGTGAGACAGTACTTGAGTTAAAAAGAAATGACTCATAATGGTACAACAAAAACTTTCTCACAATGGAAGCTATAAGGCTCCTTAGAATGATAATTTCAAGTGTCACAGGTTTCTGTATTAACAACTTCACTCTCCTTCTCCTTGTCTTTCAAAATTATGTTACCTTGTGAGGCAGCTGGATTTGCGAGATCAAAAAAATTACACAAGAATCCAGCCCTGATTTGCTACATAGCATGTTCCAAATAGTTCTTGCGGTAGAAACAGTCTTGCCAAATCTCTATCTATGGACGCATTTCTACCATCACACGGTATACACCATCATATTGCCTGACCCTATTAGACTACTGTCTACAGTCACAGTCTGACAAAATGCCTTCCTTTCTACTTTTTGTACTACTTTTTCGACTTTTTCCTACTTACAATGAAACCATTTGGCTGTTTCAAATCCTCCTACAACAAATGTTCATTGTGAACAGTGCACCCCTCATGATGCTGCTCAATTAAAATGTACTTGTCAACAAGAAGATGAAGCACAATGGACACGTGTATATCATAGTTTACGTCTTTGTCATGTGGATCAAAAGAAAAAATATATTTTGTAAATTTAGACTTTAAAGTGATGTTCAAACCAAGAAAGGTGAAAGTTTCATCATGGTTTCATCTTTCATACAACAGCTTTGTTCATCTTAAATTTATTATCAGTTAGAGTGGTAACAGAACATTCCCAGAAACTTCTCACATCACTACTGCAGAGCGATCCACTTCTAAACTCTCCATTCTGTACTGCAATCTTCACCAATGATATATTTTCCATTAACTGCCCTGCCTTCTTTCACAGGACTACAGGCTCAATGTATTTCTACGGCAAAAATGGAACGACCCTCGCCTGGCATACAGCGAATACCCAGACGACTCCCTCGATCTGGATCCGTCCATGTTGGACTCTATCTGGAAACCTGATTTATTCTTTGCGAACGAGAAAGGAGCTAACTTCCACGAGGTCACCACTGATAACAAGCTGCTACGGATTTTTCAAGATGGCAGCGTTCTGTACAGCATCAGGTAAGTATAGATGATATTCCTAAAACTTAAAGATCAGAGCCGTTGAATACCGTTACAGCCAGTTGGAAAATGACATCAGGAAGTTTGTCTGATTATGGAGTGTTCTGTTTGGGCACATTTCTGATAAATAAAGTGAAGAACACTAGTGCAGGCAGGCAGGTGGCAAACAAATCCCACTCATACATGACCTCTTGACCACAATTGTAGCAATTCGAATTGAATTGCCAATCACACACACACCCGACTGCACCTTTACACCCACTTAGGCGCACCGCAAGTCACCAAAAATAGTAAATGGGTGCAGGCTTGGAAAAAAATGCATGGAAATGTCAAGTGGCAAGTGTGCAACTTCGAAGCCTGTTTGTTTCATGACACTCTACACTGAATGGAATTTTGCAGGTGTCTTATTAAAGAATAATATAGGAAGAGACATCTTTAAATCCCTGCTTGTGTGTCACACGATTTCCCATTTTACAACTTTAAACTGATTCATCTTGGAAATGTAACTAAATCGAGATGTGGACTAAAGGTGTGCAAAATTTTAGATCAGCAACTAATTCGTAAATACAAAAGAAAACTGCTTCTTTTGGTTTTAATCGTTTCACCACATCTGACCTTACCCATTTTCAAAATTCATACATGTTATTTCTTTGGTCTGAGGCAGTCCAAAACTATAAAATAATAACAATTCTCCTAAATCCAAAAGCTAGATTGCTAAAACTCAATCAAGTATAAAGCCTAGAGCTGCTCATTTCCTGTTTCAGGACTATGTACAGTACAACAGAATAAAGCTCATTGAATACAAACATTTTGTGGGTCCACAAAATCAAGCTCCCATTCATTATCTAGGGAGCAAATCCAGGCTTTATACCTGATGACATCACAAGTTTGAGACTTCCTTCTCTGATTTTTGGCTTTGAGAGAGAGTAGCTCATGTTCACAAACAGTGATTACACTCTTCTTGGCCACGGAAATGACATATTGGAGTTCTTAATTCAGGTGGTGTTCCCCTTTAAGACATGGGATATGCCGGTGTTATTTGGGTTTAAGGATCATTCATTGGACACGTATACAGTGCATTTTGAATGTGTGTCTGAATTGGGGTTTTTATTGCAGTTTGCGACACATGGCCTCTTGTCTGTTTACTGTCAACTCTGCGTTTTAGAGATGCAGACCCAAAAGAAATGCCCACATTTTTGGTTAAAGGAATCAAAGATGGAGGCTGTGTTCGCACCGTTGGACAAGTCCGCCACTGGTAGAAAACTGAGCAAGATGGCACAAGAAGTTACAGCCTTTCCACTTTTCCATATTTTGACGCAATAACGACATGTTAGGGCATGTTTATCACAGTAGGCACGGCTGCATGTAAACAGGAATAACAGTGGAATATTTATTTTGATTAGCCAAGTGAAAGTAACTTGTTTTTGTCTCAAATTGGTCATTTTGCTAATGAAAGCACTAATTTCACCCTTCTACGGACGCCGTCTCTTAAAAAATTAAATTAAATTTGTAACATTTTTTCAAGCTTTATATGTTTTAAAAGGATTTCATTGCATTTCTGTTTGCTTTAGGAGGAGGGAGACATACATAAACGTAGTCTCTCGTAGTTACGGATCAAATATCTTTGTGTGCACTAAATACACGACACAATTAATCCAGTGTTAGCAGAATCAATCACTGGGGTATCTGTAGTTGTTCTAATGCTGAGAAAGATATTGTGTCATCACAACACAGTAGCAAATGGGTGCCTGTGTGTATACTGCTGGCGGCTCTTGTCTCGCCTCTGGGCGATGCATTACAGCAGGTAATTACACAGTTTTCCTCCAGACAGACTCCCAAATAGCTCTCTCCCTCGCTTTCTCTTCTCTGAGGATTTTTTGAAGGCTTAATGCATCAACACCACAACAAATAAAAGTAGAGATGCCCACACCAATTACTTTGCCATTACTGTAGTGCGATGAGTAATCAAATAGTAGAGTAACTCAATGTTTCCCAATCTACTCTTTTTAAAAAAGAAAATCAGTTTGTTTTTTCAATTCCTCCGGTTTTATTGCATTGAACACTCCTGACTCATGGTGCATACTTTGCTAAACAAAGCAGCATGGCACTGATTTACTTCACTGTTCTTGTAATCTGTTAACCCATCATTTCTCCTTGTGGTGTCTTTTCCTTGAGCCCTTTTGTGCCTTCTGACATCCCCTATTGCTCCTCTTCTCTCTTCCAATCTGTTTCTCTGTCTCAGGCTGACTCTTACCCTGTCCTGCCCTATGGACTTGAAGAATTTCCCAATGGACATTCAGACCTGTACAATGCAGCTTGAAAGCTGTGAGTCTTCTTCTTTTCTTCCTCTTCCTCTTGTCTCATTTAGCCTACCTCTTTGATCTCCCTCCTCTTCCTGATTTCTACCTTTTGCCTGGCTTGTAAGTGCCTAATCTGGCTATAGGCTGTTATACATTTGTGTAATTATTGGGGATATATTAACAACTGGAGAATGTTTTTTGTTTTCTAAATGCACTAAAGAAACCTGAGCAAAAGTGTAAAGAATGGATTGGACACTGCAAACATTAGCATGCCGGGCTAACTAGCTTATTACCTACAGAAGCCTAGCATTATTTCCAATGCCAGTGCTTCATACTATATTATTTTGTGACTTGACCATTTTGTGAGGTGACAGGCTACATTTAAAATAATCCCCGTTCATGACAAACTCATCCACTTTGTTTCCCCAAACCTGTGGCCAGTGTTCCAACGGCTCATAATACCGAAGCTCCAATAGTCCAAAAAATGTGCATTGCTCCCAAGGGCCATTCCTCCGAAAATATGCATCACACTCTCTCAAACGGTAGTACATGGCTAGTTATTGTGAAGAATGACGTTATCGCACCTTTTTACTATGGTACCCACCCTAGGCCCTGATCAGACAGTTTTCATTTTGCAGGTTGCTAAATGAGCAAGGTGTGCCTTTTTTTTTTTTTTTTGGTTGAAGCCTGCACCGGTTAGACATAGCACTTTTTGCAGCAGTTTCTTTTAAATGGTTGCTAGGCAACCACCAAATCACCTGTCCTTAACGGCTATTTTTCTGTTAAGAAATCTGCAAAAAAAAATGGACAGGCGGCAGACACTTGGGGACTTGACACAGGGAAACTGAGATTACATGTAACCCTCAGAAAGAGGAAAAGTCACACCAGCTGGTCCAGGAGCTTTCCCTGCATGATGGTCAGTTCAAGGCTCATTTCTGGATGAGTCGTTTGACGATCTGATGTCAGTTGTCTGGCCTAATTACGGTTGTTAAAACATTAGGAAGGAGTTGAGGCTACAATTTGTTAAGCTATGTCTTGTAACTTCCCTCGGGCGACCATGAAAGTGAGCTGACGTAAGTTTCACACAAACCATGTACTCCACCACTTATTTTCATCGCCACCACAGAAAGCCTGCCTCTCAATTCAATGGGAAAAAAGCCAATGACATTTTTTTGTTCTACTCAGAGTTGAAGTTTTTTCAGCTTGAGGCGTTCAAGGAGCTCCTGCAAAGACAAAAGGTGCATAGAACGGAAAATGTGAGGCATTTAGCAACACCAAAGCAGCGAGCAAAACATTTCACTTCCATTAAAAACACAATTAAAAAGCCGCCCCAGACTCTCTGATAGGAGAGAGTACTCTGCCACTGATTGAATAGTGCGTATTGCCTTTATAGGTTGGGTTGGTTAGTTTAGGCATGAGTAGTGTTATTGGTAAGAATTAGAGTAGGAATATCAAGGTAATCCAATCAGAGGCAGAGAAGAGCCTCCATGAAGGTCCAATGAGTTCATTCTGCATAATTATTAGCCACGTGCTTCTGTCTGGGAGAGTGCCCTGGGAGAAATGGCCCTTCACAGCAATGCACATTTGGTTTTGGGATATCACGCTGTTGGACTAAACTTTCAGTCCAATTGGACAGTTCTTTGGACTAGTGGGGCTCCGGACTTGGTTGGTGTCTTTTGCCAAACACATTTGTTATTCATCACATTAATAGGTTTTCTCTTCAAGCATCAAAGGTGAAACATTTAATATTTCAAAATTACAAAGAATTATGAGAAGTAAATTCTTCCTCCATTTTCACTGCAATCTACATGGAAAGCTTGACAGGTGTACAAGCAGTAGGGGTGATGGGGCTTAACAACCGGTCAGTTCTTACATTTTTTTACTCTGTCACATTTACGAAAGCTTGAATTTTCAAGAGATGTACAAAAAGGCATTTGAAACCTTTTAAAAATGTTATTAGACTGATAAAACATAGGTGAATAATATTATTCTCCACTTCCAGTCCTCCCTTGCCTTTAGCAGAGATACCATCCGCCCTCATGAAACCAATTTCCAGGATATAAATAATAAAACTTTAATTTTGTATCCCTTTTATTATATGTGACCCACCCCCTGTGCCTAGAGGTGACCTAATTTCCTGTCAACGGGACAAAAGAATTTAAGTGAGGGAAGGGAAGGAGCACTTGCACCACAAAGTCACGGCACCTTTTCAGAAGCCTCTCTCACAAATAAATAAGTCAAGCTGAAAGCTGGTATCTCTGCGTCCTTATCTGATTCAACAAGAACAAGAGGTACTGGTTTGTATAGAGCTAGTTACTCCCTCTTTGTGCAGCAGGCAGCATGATTTATCTCTGCAAATTAACACAGGTACAAACAGATAAAAAAAAAAATCCAATAAATTTTGTGCAGGATTTACGTCAGCCAGCATAAAGACAAAAATAAAGACATTTTACCCTTTAGGAGTGTAAGAGAGAGAGGACTCAGGCAAACAGATGTGTGTTTAAATCAGCATTGTGTGTGTGTGTGTGTGTGTGTGTGTGTGTGTGTGTGTGTGTGTATGTGTGTGTGTGTGTTTGGCTAAGTGTATCACATCACACCGCCATTAAAGGAGACGTAATCATTCCTGATTAAAGGCCTGGTGAGGATACTTGGCCTTGTGTTGACAAGTGCTAGTATGCCACCCAAGGGTGTGATCACCTTGGCTAGAGCTCGATGTTAAGAGGATATTATAGCTTTTACTGCCACTACTGGAGCTGTGGAGACATGAGAAAGTGAGAGAGAGGCCGTATGGTGGTTGGAAAAAAAGACAGAGGAGAGTTATCTTTGGGGTTTGAGAGAGAGCCAAGGCCAATCTTCTTTTCTGGCCTTTCATGCCACGGGCTTATATGGATATATAAATAGAACCAACAATACAATTCTGCCTTATTCTGACACATCAAAGCCCCATATATGCAGCTTATACCACTTCACTTTGCCTTGAGCCATTAGCGTCCAGTAACTCTAAATCCACTTTGTAACTTACACCAAATGTGAAAAGCAAGACTGAAAATCTGGAGCACAGCCGCGGCTGCGATAGGTTAGTGACTTTTACTGGGTGAACGGCGTTTTAAAGGGGACGTCCATTTCCGTCATTTTCAATGGTTTTCAAGTGGAAACTAACTTAACCATTGTCAAAAAGTGGTGACACAGGTTACAGCGCTGATCACCCCCTCCCACACACACACACAAGCGCTGTTTGCCGACTGTGTAAGCACAGAGTGAGAAAAGTGTTAGCTTAAGGTGGAACATAGTGATATTAAACCTGATTAACCACCTCGCCACCTCATTAGTCCGGTTCCCAAAGTTGTTCAATAACCCTAACTAACCAATCAATGGCAGTGGTTGACCAGCAACTCCTTGTTTCTGCAAAGTAAAATTACTGTTTCTGTTAAAGAAGTCTGGCAGCTATTAATCTATCAAGACAGATTCTGCAATTTACATTGTAGAATCTATCGGCAGCCCTGTGTGAAAGACGACTACAGAGGGGGTGAGGGCGGGTTTGAACGATGCTGCGCTTTAGCCAATCACAATGAAGGGGGCATGGCTGAGACGTGCAGGTGTCCCCAGGAAATGTGTACCTACAGAAACAGCAAGCTCCGCGTCCATAGCGACCGCTCCACCCAAAACGCCGTCTCATCAACGTGAATTTTTTTTTTTTCCAGCGGATGTCTTAGTTACAACATGATTGAGCAAACTGGAGTAGTTTCATGTCGTATCCGACAACGGGAGGCTTTTAACAGATGACGTCCTGATGTTAGCTTTGCTAACTGTCCCTGTCAGCTGCAGCCACTGATGCTTTCTAGACATCGTGATTTCCCATAACCAAATAAATACCACACATAGCAACACAAAACTGCTTTGCTGGCTCAATCATGTTGTAACTAAGATATCCACTGGAAAAATATTTTATTCACGGACCGTTAATTGAGTTATTACCTTATTTTTATACAGACTATGGTTATTACAGACACCGCTAACGGCTAACGTTAACAGCTAATGGTTAGCCCAGCTAATCTACGTTAACCACGTTATTAAGTACAAAACGTGCACACAGAAATAGTAACGTTTGTTCAATCATTGTGTTTATAGACTTAACAAACATCAGATTAGTCTACACAGTGATATAGTGACGTGAAAAATGTGATATATAGCTAAACTCTGCTGGTTTTCTACCCAAAGTATTTGTAAACAACACGGCTATTCCCTGGGGGCACTGCCGGAAGTGAAGGGCGTGAGCGATCGCCGAGGCCCCTGCACTTCCGTTAGTCGAAAAACTCCGGGGGGGGTTCACCGATGAATTTCCAGATTGGGCAGCTATAGACTGGAGCAGCAGCAAAAAATATTTTAGCCTCCATAAAAAAAGGGGAATCTAAAAAAAAGACAACATCAGATTAAGTGTATGCTATATTAAGATTATTTTACCCCTTTGCTTGCTGTCAGACAGCCCCTTCCAAAAGGGAACTGAAGTCGTCATCTGTGCTTTCTTTCTACATTTATGTCTTTAAGATGCTGTGGCGTACTCATTTTTAAAGGTAGCACAAAGATATTGGTATCTTGTGAAACTAGACAACCAATAGCACCCATTGGTACCAATCATGTCGGTGTAGCTTGATTGGCAACTACCCCAAACCTAGACTACATTTTAGCAAGGAGACAACTGGCATGACCATTTTTAAAGGGTCCTTTGAACTCTCACCTCAAGATATATGAATGAAAATGGGTTCTCTGAGTACCTAAGAGTTTCCCCTAAACTCGAGAGGGCTTGTTCCCAGTAAATGTTTTGTTCTTTACAATCAATGCACTTTTTAGAGCTGTATATTCGTCTTTTTAAGGAAAAGCACAGCCTGTATGTGTGATACAAATTGCTTAACACAAAGCAGGATTGTTGTGCAAGTCAAAATGTTAACTGTACTGGTATTAAGATCCAGAGACTCCAAACTCACTTCAGAGAAGTAGTGGCTATGTTGCCTCACACTTCTGTGTCTCAGCCAACTCTTGTTTCTCTTCTCGTGCACTGAGCTGAATTGCCAATCAGAGTGATTTCATTCACCGACAAGCTCCTCTTTTGCCGACATCAATTCAACATGTTGAATTGATAGAAAAAAAGCCTCATCAGTGCCGATGAGGGCCAGTGGTGCGGGACACACAGCACCATTGCGGGCGGCAGATGCTCACCAACAGCCCATCTTTGACCGACAGCTAACCGTCAGCTTGGTGTGTCAGTCTGTGCACATCAAATATTTATTAACATTAATTTTAAAATAAGAAACCAAAGTGTATCAGTATGCAACTCTTTAACCCCCTATATTGATATAGTTTTCAACTTGCCTACATACAACATCATAATACATTTTCTGAAATTCAAATATGGCTTTTGGTTTTGTTGTGCCACCACAAGATTGTCCATGGCCCTATCTGACCCATATCAAACATTTCTGAGGGCACCACTGCTAGAACATATGTACTTCTAACCAAAATTACCCCACGAAAAAAAAAAAACTCTAAAAATAATGGAGCCTGCCTTTAACATGAAAAAAAAGACAGCATGTGACGACACTCATTACTCTACCTTGCTGAGATATTCCTCACATTCTGCCTCATGTTGCACCTCAAACACTATGTCAGTTATGCTTTGTTGCCTCTTAGCTGTAGCTGGTTGAAGAAAAGACCATTTCGGTGTCTAAGTAAAGCATTGGTATTCCTCTTGCCTATTACAGCAGGATGTGTGAATGACAGTGAACTGTCCTCATGAACAAGATGAGTTTGTCTTTGTTGTGTTGTTTTTCCCGGTGTGTGGGCAGAGTGGGGTATAACATTTTGAATAATTGATGTCTTTGTTACTCAGGCCCCAAAGCGTCCCTGTGGACATCGGTATTATTCAGATGTGCAAGAGGTGCTGCATTGTTGTTGCATGTGGCATGCATTTTTAATACACTTTCATCAGGTAGCTGTGAGAAGGAGTGCGACGTTCAAATAGAGCAGCTGTGTGTGGAAGCAAATATGATTATTGATTTTTCCAGGGTGGTTTAATAAACTGTATATTTACTCACAGAAATTAATACATATACCATTATGTTACACTTTGTGCATTACTGTTACTGCATACACTAACCAGCTCAGTCTGTGTCAGCACATACAGCATCTACCACTGTCACAGGCAGATATGCTCCTCATGTCCCCCTTTATTCTGTAACCTTCAAGCAACAGCAACATGACTGGAGCTGTGCTGGGTGACCTTTACTGTGACAAACATGATGGCAGAGGGTAGCTGGTAGCTGGACAGATGGGCAAAAGCGGCATTATATCACCACAATCTTTCAAGTTCCATTCTCTCTCTCTCTCTCTCTCTCTCTCTCTCTCTCTCTCTCTCTCTCTCTGGGTCTCATTAGGCAGTGTTTCTGATGTTTCTCAGGCACAGATGTTATTCTATGGTAACAAGATCCCAGTAAGAGTGCGGTGTAGGGAAGAAATTGGGTTAAGGAGGAGGAAGAAGTGGATGAGGACCACAGTGAGAGTCATAAAAATAAGAATATTAATCAGTGAGTGTAGTGTTGTGCTTGATTTTATGCAGTATTTTGAAACATGCACTAAAACACATTGTTTTTGAGATACATATAGCAACAAGAAACGTCAGCGTTGTATCCTGTGACTGATGCTTCTACTTTATAGTCAGTAACCAGTATACAGCCTTGTTTTCATGTCTACTTATAGCACTTGTACTGAAAGTCAGTTTAATGCTGAAAATGATGGAGTGCAATTGCAAGTAAAATGCATCTCCCCAAAATTGTATTAGCATCTGAGCACTAACAGCAGTTTTATGAAGATTTGTCTGAGATATTGTATATTAGAGGCTGTCTAGACAAAATAATAAACTATAGAGCATCATATCCCCCTCTTTGGCAAGTTGATGTAATTTAGAAGAATGCACGCCACGGTGAAATAATGAGATGTATATGCCAGAATTTGTCTTAAATTATACGCAAGATACATAAAAGAACAACAGGAGAATTTATAGAGTGAAAAGATGACACACTTCTAACTGCGTCTTTCTCATTTAAATATCCTCTCTTTATCTCCTCTGCTCTCTTTTCACAGTTGGTTACACCATGAACGACTTGATCTTTGAGTGGCTGTCTGACAACCCCGTTCAGGTGGCTGATGATCTCACCCTCCCACAGTTTGTGCTTAAAGAGGAGAAGGATTTGGGCTACTGCACTAAGTATTACAACACAGGTACATAATGAATTCCATTTGCGATGTTGAGAAACCAGGGACCCCACGCTGAAAATCCAAACTGTAATTGAGTGCTTCAGCTTATTTCCTCTCCGGAGGCATGTTGAAGGAAGATAGGTGTGCAATGGAGACTCTACAACTTGAGCACTGCTTACTGTTGGTTGTTGTTGGGATTTAACCTATGACGTCCTGTATTGGTATATATGGAAGCCAAATATTGTTCTCCACAGCAGAATATACGCCAGATGGGACATGCCATTAAGCTAAAAGAGACACATGTATATAAAAAGCAAAGTAATACTATAAATATAATAAATTAGATCATTACAAAGATAGTCCAATGAGGTAGTGCAGTTAGACAGAGGACAGACAGTGGACAGCATCTTTATCGTCTCCTATTATGCCATCCCAGCAGTAATTAAAAAAACAATGTTGTCCTTACAGTCTGGCATCACCAGACCAATTTGCAAATGTGAATTCGTCTGGAACCTCTCAGTTCATTTTCAATTTCCAAGGGCCATTATCAACAGCCATAGATCAAAATGCCTCTGTACGTGATTAGACAGACCTACAACCAATCAGAGCGAGGAAACGTGACAGAGTGCTCAGCTGTGATGGTGTAGCATCAATATATCTGAACAAGTGTTGCTATTTTTGCCATCAGACTTTGAAAAAGGTACTTCAACAGAAAGTTTCACATTGGCTGCAGCTTTCTTGGTCATTTTCCAAAATGCCTCCTAGTTGTCTTGTCCCTGGCGTGAGCGCAAAGACTCTGCATGTTGTCAGTCATTGTCTGATACATGCCCAGTATTAGAAAATCTGTTTTTACAGGAGGGGGACCAGACACATCTGCAAGAGCAAATAAGACATGAGCTCACAGATTCGTCTGGTTATTGTCGCACGACAGTTCAATGTATGTCATGTGTCTGCAGGTAAATTCACCTGCATCGAGGTGAAGTTCCACCTGGAACGTCAAATGGGCTACTACTTGATCCAGATGTACATCCCTTCCCTCCTCATCGTCATCCTCTCGTGGGTATCTTTCTGGATAAACATGGACGCTGCACCAGCCAGAGTGGGTCTGGGCATAACCACTGTGCTGACAATGACCACGCAGAGCTCTGGTTCAAGGGCCTCACTGCCCAAGGTGGGTCTGCAGACTTTTGACCAAGATGTATGATAGTGTGTGCGTAGTGGAAGGCAGATTCATTGTTGCAGGAGGTGTATTTACTGAGCAAACAAGAACTTTAAGATGATTCTATTTAGTGGGGTCATAGTTTTGAAACAGATGTTGGCTATGGAAGAAACAGTATTTCTGAAAATCAATGAAGCACAAAGAAAAAGCAAGTTATCTGCTATAGAGCTTGAAATACCGGTTACAGAAACTATTAACCCTTTGAAACCTATAGCGACATCACTTCATTTGTGCTGCTTTCAGATGCCTTTTGCAAGTATTTAAACTTTTAAACTCATATTGATGCGATTTCTTACAAAAACATGGGAAAAAAGGTAATGAGCAACTTGGTAAGAAAGGTCCCACACATTGCCCCAAAAAAAAAAAAAAAAAATCTTTTTCAGAATATTATTTTTAAAAATTAGTGAAAAAAGAAAAAAAAATAGGGAAAAACTATATTGATTATTATTATTATTACTTATTTAAAATCATGGTACAGAATTAATAATTAATAATTATTAATTCATCATTCCCTTGTTTATTTATTTATTTATTTGTAACTTTATTTTCTTTCCTTTTTATTTATTTATTTATTTTACTAATTTTAATGTTTTGGATTTTCTCTTTTTACTAATTTCTTGCAAATCTTTGGGGTCATTTCTTTTGTTGCTCATTGCCTTCTTCCCATGAAAGAAATGAAGACAATTTGCTCAGGTTTTAAAGGGTTAAATGAAACTGTAATCGTATGCTCTTCTTCCTCCAATTAACGAATATGTGTGAGAGGAAGTAGACTTGACATAATGCTATCAGCTCAACAAAAAGGTCAGTGACTAAATGAAGAATTAAAAAAATCTAATGAACACATTATGGCCTGAAACTCTTCTGACATTTTGTTCTGACATATCCCCCCAAAAGTGATTCATGATATACAAATAACATTACCTTTTGTACCTGATATTTCCTGACAGGCTGACAAGGCTGATCCACATGCTCCATGAAACAAGTGACAGATGCGCAGTGGATTACTGAGGACTGCAAAATGTATACGGGTTGTGTCTACTAAAGTTAAATGAAAGATGCATTTGGAGCGAGCTGTAGGAAAGGATGACCTACTAGAGCATATTAAGTTATGAAATGCTGACTATGCATGAGGCAGTTCCTGATTTAGGACAAGGCCAGAGACTAACGAGGGAGCAGACAAACAAGGGCCAGGTGGGGTGAGGACACTGGCATGTGAAAGACATGCAGGGCAGGGCGCACAGATCTCTGGGGAGAAGGTCAGAGAGCAGCGGAGAGACAGATTGTGTTACACCAACATGACGGTAAACATTTTTTTTGCTGATTGGCTAAAAATGTGTTTTAGAATACTTTGACGTTGGATGACCAGCCAACAGTTTAACCAACGCTCTAACACAGTGCACAAGGTATATTAGATTGTAACCATACCAACTTCAGCCCGGTGCTACATCACCAGTTAACTCTCACTGATGGTTGTAGAGTTTGACTGCTTTGTGTGCACTTTGACCTGAGGAAGTTTTTCTTCTTTAACTTTATTTAAAGGGGGATAAAAACGTTAACAGCCAGGAATTCTACATCAGGAACACCCTGTTCACATCTTTACAGCTACGCACACCCGCACCTGTAAGTTGACCAGTACAACTGTACATTTATCTGCCAGCCACTGAGCAGCTCCAGTGGAGCAGTTGGGGGTTAGGTGCTTTACTCAAGGACACCAAGTGGTGGTAATGTGAATTTCCTCACCTAGATTTAACCAATGGTTCCTGAACTCTATGGCTTGCGACCCCTTAAAACAAAGAGATGTCTCAACGCAGGTTTTAGCCGTAATGTGCAAGTTGTTCCATCTTTCTTTGTTTCATTAAGCTCAGTTCAGACCAATGATTCGCAACGAGACTAAACCATTTTAGAGGGTTGCAGAGAAAAGTTGCAGCAGTCTTAAGTGGCCAGTCTGAGCTTGACTCAAGCTGGCTGATGATGTCACCTGCAACTCAGCTGGTCAAATCGCTGGTGGCTGCTTTTAGAATGTAAAGCACATCACCTGTTTGTACAGCCAATCGGCTTGTAGTGAAGTCCGCTGGTCAAATCAATATCAAAATTGCTGTGGCAGGTGCTCCGTCCCACCGAGCCCTTTGTTTCCTGTGGGTCTGTGGGTCTGTGGGTCGCTGCTGCTGCTTGCTGTATGTGCTTATACCCCACCCACACAGACACACATTGACTGATTAATTGGCACTGGTTATTTATTTTAATGTGGCGTATTTATTATGAATAAAGTCCATCTGATGCTTGCTTTGCTAGTGTTTTTCACTGTTTCATCACTACTACAAACTCAGCTGTAATCAGTATCTCACTATCGCTATCCTTATTCATATTTTAAGAAGCTACAAATTATATTCAGCCACAAAATAAGTCTGAAAAGATGTAAATGAGAACAGCAGTACAGAGAGTTGTTGCATAGGGATGATACACTGCTTCATCTAGTTGCATTGGTGTGAACCAGCAGGTTTTCAGAACGTTGCAGAACAGCGCATCGCAAGTTGTCTGTTTCAACTCATCTTGGCGCCAGTCCTTGGTCTGAACTGGGCTTTAGGGCCTGAGCACGAAAGTGCCAGGGCCCAACGGTCCCAGGAAGTCAGGGAAGTCCGGCTTGTGTGATAACGACGTGCGTGAAGGTGCAAGGTTTGGTACAAAGAAAATAGTTCCTACATGAAACTGCTGACAACAAAATCTTTGGATGATCTTGACTAACCAGGTCATGATTTCTGTAAAGAGACATTGCTGTTGAGTTTTTCAAATGTATTTCTGGCGCTTTGAGCACCACAAGCCAAGTGCCATCTGGTCCCATAATATTTAAAAGAGCGCAGACATCTTACAGCCGATATCTACATTACTCTGCAACTCACACTCATACAATCCAGATAGATAAACAGTGCAGCAGGCAAAAGGAAAAAAACATGTATTTCTGATTTGGGGCGAACTGTCCCTTTAAGGGACAACTCTGGAAGGAAGGAATCAAACAAAAATATTATTAGGAGTATTAGAGAACCTTGTCAATAGGTGTTAAGTGGCATGTTAACACAGCAAAAAACAATGTATTACAGCTGGAGTATGAGATTGTAATGCAGAGGAAGTTGATTAAATCATGACTGAGATGTCTCCAGAGTTTGTACCCTACTGATGCGTCACTTTGCTGTTTTGCTCCCCCCAACATTTACGCCTGTATCTGTAACAGTCAGCAAACTGCTGCTCAATTGAGTGAAGTTTCCACACAATGCATGCTCAGTGGGCGTCGCTGATTTGCTGTGACATATCTTCTCTCGTGAACTACCGAGCGGGGGCTTCCCTCAAGTCTTGAGCTATGACCTGTCTCCTGGCTATGTGTCACTGCCCACATCCCTCTGACTCACTACAACTCTAGACCATCCCCAAGATGTATGTCATGACGTGCCGGCGCTGAGAAACGGGTAGTTTGTGAACAACCCGTGGATTATCGGTTAGCCTCATTGACTGACTGCTGATGACTTTGTGACCTCGTTTGTTTCCCAGGTGTCCTATGTGAAGGCCATTGACATTTGGATGGCGGTGTGCCTTCTGTTTGTGTTTGCTGCCCTGCTGGAGTATGCAGCAGTCAACTTTGTCTCAAGGCAACACAAGGAGTTCATCAGGCTGAGGAAAAAGCAGCGGCAGCAAAGAATAGTAAGTGTAAATCACACACACACACACACACACACACACAGGCACAGGCTAAAGCTTGCTTACACACATGCCTAAACACACATTGTGGCAGATTTTGTAAGTAAGCACAAGAAACACACGCACACACACTCCAGTTCTTGTCAGCCTCTATAACACTGACTTATGCCTCTTGTTATTGTGGGGCGCTGTATATTCAGGAACTGACAACATCAACACGCTACAGCTGGCTGTCATATTACATGAGGCAGATCAGCTCATTTCAGTTCAGCTCGTTTCCATGGCGAGCACTGACCTGTGAAGAGCCTTTGTGATCCTTTCTCTCCGTCACTACATTTGACACAGAGCAACAGCCTATCCTACAGACCCTGTGACACCGGGATACCCTAACCCTGCATTCACATGACATGTTGTGGTTCAGTATGAGATGCTTCAACTGCATTTTTTTTCCTGCTTTTGTGTAACATTCAACTTACTGTACCTGACTCAGAATTATGTCAGTCGAATCAGATTTGGCTGCTCAAAATGAATATTTGACAATTCAGGGTTTTTTCAGTGTAAAAGTTTGAACATGCTCCAATGGGTGTTCAGTGTGACAGCAGCATTCACATTATAGTAACAAGCTAACAAACAAGCTAACTGCACCAACGATGGCTCTGAAATGTGCAACATTTTTTTCCAACACCAGATGTCAAACAAAAGCCAGAGACTGTCATATTAAGTTGCTGTAAGAGAGAAGATAATGTTATTTTGGAGCCTTTCGGTGCAAAGTTTCTTCCCCTCTGTGGGTAACTGTACCAAAGAGTATCGTCAAAGTCAAGAGCCCTCACTCCGCAGCAAAATCTGGGGACCAAAATGTCCCCAGAAGAACATGCATACAAAAATGACTGCTCAACTTGAAGCAATCCAGTTGATGAGCACTGATCAACAACTAGTTTCTTTAGTTAGGTCTCTTTACTTACTTATTTATCTTTAAAGTGTTCTTCTGTACCATACTCTAATAGACTGGTACTGGGATAATGGGTTTTTTTATGGGCTAACTCGAAAGCTAGCATCGCCCTGGTTCCATTGGGATTTTTCCATTCCACCCAGTTACCAGAAGAAAATGTTTGCTCTGTGCGTTTCTGCAAACCAAAACGTTACATTTGCACGTTTCATACATGTCGTGTCAAAGGGAGGTAGTACAGGAGCTGACTTTGTCATCTAGAGGTGGAGGGGACGGTTGATGACGCGCCACCTAGGCAAGACGCCTGCTGACCTGCAGACCAATGTTCGAGACCAACAAACAACAAAACTGGTTGTCTTTTAGTTCATCATTACTGTGTTTCCAGCAGCTTTTTAGTCACTTAATGTGGATGTTTTTCAACAACTCTTCACTGTTTTTCCAGCAGGGAAAGTGCCACAAAACGCAGGTATTTTAAGCCAAAACATGATCTTTTTCTGACCGTAACCAAGAGGTTTTTGTGTCTAAATCTAACCACAAGTTAACCACAGCATCGTCAAAAAGTGTAGTTTCCGTTACATGATCACAATAATGCACAAATGTTACATATCCGTGGTTTGCAGAAATGTACAACGCCAACATTTTTTGGCAATTGGGTTTGGTGTTTTCTGATTTATGTTTTGGCATACAACCAAATATGAAAATCTCTCGAGCTTGTGTAAACCACAGACCTTATTATATTATAAATACCCAGTGTCCTCATGATGATAGAACCAGAAGTGCAAAAATGCTAACTCATTTCTGGGTGTTAGGACTCATTCTTACATTATCAGGCATTAAAGTCCTTGAAAACCAGGCCTTGAGTAAGAAGTCCATCCGAGTGAGTAACAGCAAGCTCACTAGGTTGGATATTGCAACATTTTCATATCACTTTAAAAAAAATTCTCTCGTTATCTTGGCTTCATTTATCATCCGAACATACATTGACTAAATTGGTTCCATGTGTTGAATGATGATTATCAAGGCAAAAACCTTGTAAGCTGACAAATAAAAGCGTTCACAGAGAGGTGAGAGACTTTGTGTGACACAGAAAGGTTTGTCTCGAGACAAAACAACTTGAAAATCCCATTAAACCAGCTCACAGGCTGGGCAGCCTCTCAGACTCATGGCAAAGTTCCCTGTAAAAGGCAGAAGAGTCCAGCAGATTTCCCGGACAGCCTGCCCTCCTGCATCGATACAGGAGAGAGAAAATGATGCTTTGTAGAGGAAAAGATTTCCCCTGTCCACATCAGTTGCACAATTACTCCCACTGAGGAGCGTGAGGTCGCAAACTATCCATCTGAGAGGTATTGATGCACGACTCGATGTGTACTAGAGAGAGGTTGGGAATCTGATGGAGTGTACAAATCCCAGACTGACTAGCTTTAATCAATGCACTCTGCCAGCTTTGTGTTTGACATCTCTGGTGTTCTCTAAGCCAAACAGCTATAGCAAGTATATCCACACAGCCTTCAGAATGACAAAAATAAAAAACAGAGCTCCCATTTATAGTCCTTACAAAAATAACTTCAACCGGCTCCTTGAGGATTCTTTATTCGTCTTCAAAGCCAGTTCCCTAAACGAACAGCCGCAGATAATGTCCTGTATTATCACACTCAGAGTGCCTCTTTAATTAAAAGCTGAGAGTGTCTGCTTGAGTTTGTTGTTCGAATTTGAAGTTTGCATCTTTAATCACTTTATTTTTGGCACAGCACAGGTAGGTTTTCCATTTAAATAAAGCAGGGGAAGTTCATGTTCCAGGCAAAATGCGAAGGGCCGTGTCTAAAACAAATTATAAATTCAACACTAACGAATTTCTCTCTTACAAGAGACGCAGAAACTTTTGTTTTACAACTAAAGATGAAAGAAGGAGCCATAACTCTTACTTCAATTTGTCTACCTTCCTTTTCCAATGGAGGTGTTTGCCAGTCCGCCTGGGAGTGTTGAGTCGTTGCGGAAAGCGAATTACCTCCCTGGTAACAACTCAGCCTACAGGAACCTGAATCAGCCCTGCAGCGCCTGTGCCAGGGTAAAAGACTGAACCCTATTTCAACCCTGACTTTCAATCCCAATATTTGTCCAGTAGAGTCTTCCAAATAGATTGTGTCGTGCAACTGTCACTTCAAACCTGAATATATCCTGGCATCTCTCCCACAACCAAATCCACTCTGTGCTGATCTCGTCCTGTCATTACAGCCCCGTCCGACCTTCTGCCCCTTCATACCAACGTTACTACCTTGGAATTCTTGCCCTTTATTCTTTCCCAATGTGTAACTTGTTTTTCAGGCTAATATAAATTCAACATGCACTTCCTCCTCTTGTTCTCTCCTTGTAGAACTTTTAATCTCATTTTTCTTTCCAGGAATGGGGGCATGTATTAAAGGCAGAACAATAGTTTTGTCTTTATTTTCTTAATCATCTAATTAAGATAAGACAAAAGATAATCCTTTATTAGTCCCACAGCATTACAGCAGCAAAGGGGAGAGTGCCAAAACAAGAAGCATCAGCAAAAACAAAAAAGCAAGATAAAATAAATCAGTACAAATTGAAAAAGCAAAATATAAGTAGACTGACTGAACGGTAGAATTCACATGAATGCACATAGGAATTATTGATGTAGCTCAGTTTAGTTTGTATTGATTTTGTGCATGAATGACGAATGTCAGTTGTCTAAAAACATGAGTTCAACATTTTGGGAAACAGGTTGGCTCACGTTTCTTGACAGGACTTGAAGGACAAGATTGGCACCAGTACGTATATAAAGCTTCAGTCAGCAGCGAGTAGCCAATTAGCTTAGCAATAAAGACTGTAAACAGGGGGAAACAGCTAGCCTTGTGCTGTGAGGTACAATGACCAGATGTACCAGCAATGAGAGTATTGCCTACTGCACGCACCATAAGAGGGTACTGGTCATAGTGGTCATTCACAGTGAAAATGCTGATGTAAAAGATAATATTATGACGGCCAAACATACATGGCGACTACAAGCAGCTTGGGCCAGTGACACAAAACACCCTAAGTTAAGATTTTCCTCAAAGTCCTAGCTAAGGACTTAAAATGGGCTGCACAAACCACCCGTAAGTCTTCTCCTTAAGGTTTCCCTTAAAATGTTTACTTAAGTATTTATGGTTTTTTTCCTTATCTTAGTCTTATACTTAAGGAATCCCTAGACTGTTGCACAAAAGATCTTAGCAATCCAAAGCAAGGTTGCAAAAAAAGAAAGAAAAAAAAAACTTAAGGTGCTTTTGACTCTCTTAACTGCAACATGACCAAGTTCATGGTGATAAATGAAAAAACGAACATACCCTGAGAAGAGTGTTCTGTGACCAGGAGAATCCAATGGATGCGCTTTTGATTTGATTTTATAGATTTGACTGAATTTATTTTCTTTGCAGTTTCTTCCCACAATCTTTCTTTGTTTTCTGGTATTTCGGGACCAAATTTACTTTGTAGTTCCTTCAAAAGTGTAATCTTTTCCTCCTCTGACCAATATGGTTTTCTTGTCTTCTTTTCACTCTAACTATAAGCCAACTTTTTGAGACAATAACAGGCATCACAAGTGTAAATCTGAGCAAACAAACAATCTCCATGGCAACTTTTACCACTGTAAAATCTCTTTCAATGCAGTAAATCAATTAACATTTTCCTCTTCTTTTAAGGTGTTCTGTGCAACTGTGTAAGTCCCTCAGCAAAGGAGAAATTAAGCCTTAAGTGTCATTCTCAAAGAGAAAACTTAAGGTGTTTTGTGCAACCGATCCCTGGTCTTATGTGTTAGTATTACAATTTCGTCTGCTGAGGCCCTGTCTGTCAATGGTGTTAAAAGGTGCAGCTGGTAGATGTGTCAAGCCCTGAAATAAAATTCTTGTATCCTAATGACAACTCCCATGTTGTGTGCTTGACATGCATGTGCACATACACAAATGTGTGGTATGCTTAAGGGTCCCGGGTTCGGGGTTTGAAAAGATGGCCACACTCCTGTCACAAGGTAACAACATGTGCCTACCAGCACCTCTAAAGGCACCAGTTAACAGCTTTCAAGTGTAAAAATGAAATGTGTTACCTTTGGACAGAGCCAGGCTAGCTGTTCCCCATCTTTAGCCAGAAGCTAAGCTATTATATATTTACTTAACAGACATGACAATTTAATGTTCAAACTCTTAGCAAGAAAGCGAATAAGCATATTTTTGAAATCACTTTATTGTTAGCATTATTTATATCCAAACTGTCACAGATCACTCCTTGCAAACAGCCCCTTCCATAGTAACCTCATCACACTGTGCTCTGTGGAGAATAATCAGTCTCAACTGATCTTATGCCAACAAATCACAAAGTGTGTAGCTGCCGCTGAGAGCACAGACGATAAGCACTTATTATCTTTAGAGAAACGCACCATTAGAGTTTAGCACATGATGTACTGTATCGTTTAGGAAGGAGTAGGAGGGATAATTAAGCTATGCTAGAAGAGCTACAACTTCCTACCCCCCGGTTGTATGGTGCAATTTGTCATCGGGACAACAGATAGTTAGTAACCATCAAATTACTCACAACCAGGTTATTGTAAGGAAGAGGAAGTTTACTGTAAATGAAGTCTTTAGGTAAACAGTGAAAGTGCGAGCTAAAGGGCAGCTGGCAGAGGTTAGGGGAGGTTTTAGAGGATTAAATGAATATACTGTGCAGGTACAGACAGGTGGAGACAGGTGTGAAATACTTAGTAGCATTGGACCTTTGACAGGAGCTGAGAGTGTCTCACTGCCAAGTCTGTCCGGCACCGAGATGGGAAGTTCGGCAGAGTACCAGAGACCTGCCAGGGTCAGTGAGAGAGAAACAGAGAGAGGGGAGGGGACACAGGGATCAGAGCTTTCAGGGCACTTCACACCGACTACTAATCATCCAATTTAGATCCCACATCTTCACTTTCCCCTGCTAAAGTGAATCTCTCAAAGTGTCAGAGGGCTGTCAGAGTTAAGCTGCATGTCTATTAATATTCTCTTCAGAGGGCGGGAACAGTGTCTCATTCACTGTAAGGGGAAAAAAAGCGCGGCACCATTCATCAAAGCAGAATGCCAAGTGCAAGTTTTTTTGGTGAGGTGGAGATCATGACTTTTTATTAATAGGCATTTTGAAAGGTCTATCATTCTGCTACTTTGAGAGGTGGAAAGGAGAGATGGAGGTTAATTTTTTGATTAACTCTCTGAATTATAATTTTCTCTCTTCCTCCTAATGACGATGCCCTCCGATTCTCCTCTTTGTGCCAGAGAAACTTCAAAAAGCTTAATTGAAGACAGTTTATCTTAGGCTAGTGCTTCTCATGTATTACCATTGCATGTTTGAAAATCCCAGAAGGTCGTTACACCCCACGGTACTCTGAAGGTACTCTCAAAATTCTCAAAAACTCTAACATCGTGCTGCACAACAATGAAAGATTTTTAACCCGTTTCCCAAGTTGCGACGATAATTCCTAATCCAAACAAACAGGGCAACAATCACATTTTGTCTTTGGTTAATTAATACAACACGTATTCATTTCATCTCATATTTGTGGACGCTTCCTGAAAGCTTATGGATAGGGACCAAACGGAGATTGTGGAGGCAATGTAGTGTAGTTCAAGCGAAATACGACCAAAGGAGATGACAAAGAACTTTAAATAATGGTGGAACAGAACAAATCTGTAATATGATAATAATATATAGTAATAATAGTGTAAAGACTTCTCCATCCACATGTCGGGATGTATATAATGGTTGTGCAGACCACCACCATCTACAACACTGCCTCCGTTTGAAGGTGCAATATTATGATCTCCAGCGTCACCTCATTCATTTTCATGTGAAACTTTTGACTCTGCCCTCTAGTGGCATCTATTGGCCGTCTCCATAGCAACATAAAGGACACATGGAAGCGTGAGGACAATGACGCTTACAGTGTTTGAAACGCATGTATTTTCGTACGTAAGGGTACAAATAAGTCCTAAATATGTCAATATCCGTACCTTTGATGAAGGAAAATCCTCATTTGAGTAGCTGTGTTTTGTGACCAAAAATGTTCTGAGGCACAACCCTGAGATTGTTCTGTTCTCTAATAAATAATAAATGTGGCAATTGCTAATCAACCCATATTAATTTCACCTCCAGTTAGGTCCCACCCATTTCTGTTTTAAACTCTGCCCATTCCAACTATAGATACATACATATTACAGTATCTAGTTGGCTGAACAGATACAGCTAATGATGTACTCCTTTAGCCTTAGTTATAAATTACGTATTGTCATGATTTTACTCTGTTTAATTCATATTTTCATACAAATAAGTGTATGGAAAAATAAGAATAATGTCCCTACCTGTTAGGTTAGGTTTAGGAAAAGAATTATGGTACTTAACATGATGACGTAACTTGACTTAACATTAGTACGTAACTTAAAGTGCTGTATGTAACTCTGGAGAAACATAGTTAATTGTTGGGTCTCATTCTCAGGTTGTCACTTACCAACACTTTGGGTTGGGAGTCCGACCAAACTACCAACCCAAAGCATCTGGAATGAGACTCAACAATCAGCTACCTTTCTCCAGAGTTACATACAGGTTTTTAAAATTACTTAGAATTGACTTTTGGTTTCACACAGGACACAAACCCTGGTCTCCAGGGTCAAAGCCCTATGTTTGTTTGATCTATCCCTCAACCCTAACGTCCTCCCTATGTGGACTTTGTCACTCTTAATAATATGTCTGACTTCTTTCTTTGCTCAAGTCATATGATGCACGACAGACTGCAGCGCATAGGTCATGTGATCACAGTCTCCTAGCTCACGATCATGTGTGTTTTATACAAATAATGCATTACTTATTGTAGGTATAGGTTTGAGCAGTGAAAGAGAACAGCCTGACCAAAACAGCAAGAAAAATGTCATTTCATTAAAAATACAGTCACAACTTGAGAAACGGATTTAAAATGTGTTTTTGTTGTGCAGCAGATGAAATATATTTTTTCATCCAGATGGTTAGAGGAGTATAATGATTTTGAAAACACCTTTGTGTTGCTGGATGATGATATGAGTTTTTCAGACACCACCAGAGGTAAAGTCTCTCCCTTCTGGTGTCTTTATTTCGAGAGAAAAAAAAAATAGTAGACAACAACAAGAGACAAACAAGAGATCCTGTCTGAACTGTGCCATGAATTACATGTTTGTCAATTTCAGAGATAATTTTTCAAGTTAAGAACATTGCAGTTTGTTGTACGTCTCGTCTCGCACAATATCACCTACCCCAGCTAGCTAGTTAGCTCACTTATGTTCCACACAAATGTAACGCTGATGTGTTGTATCCAGTGCTCATGCGAGTATATCCCGTTACAAAACACAGAGGAATCGCTCAGAAAGAGGACGGTTATGATGTCACCTATGCAACTTGTGTGGTCGTTCTCATTAGGTATTTTCACTGCGAAGTTCTTGACCTGCAAATTATCTTTTAAACTGATAAACATGTAAAATAGCACAATTCAAACAGGATCAAAACTGTATTTGCTTCTTCCCATTGACTAACATCCCAAAATAAGGTCCCGTGGTGGTCCAACAGCAGGGAAGGGATATCACCTCTCTACTTCTTTATCAGAGAAACAAATGCTTACTGCTATGACTTGAATGGACTGTATGGTAACACATGAGAGGCACAAACTGGGGCTAGTACCTGTTTTACGCACAATCACTGACAAATCTACTGCATTTGAAAAGCTTCATCCCTGAAGTCAAAAATTCAGTTTAATTTTTCTGCGGATGTTTTCACTCTGTTGCACTCTGCTGCCCTTTTGTGCTGCTGCATCCCAAACGCATTTGGGAATCAGCCACTGAGAGGAAATGTAAAAGGCTGTGAGCTAATTCTTGTTGACAGCGAGAGGCCAATCTGTTTTCCCTATGCTTGACTCCACAGGAGGAGGAACTGGTGAGGGAGAGCCGCGGATTTTACTTCCGGGGTTACGGACTGGGTCACTGCCTGCAGAACAAGGATGGTACCACTGTGGAGGGGGCCACTGTGTTCACCCCGCCGCCTCCCCCTCCTCCGGTCACCATGTTTGACGGAGAGGTGCTTCACAAGCGTTTTGTGGACCGGGCCAAGCGCATTGACACCATATCCCGAGCCGTCTTTCCCTTGAGCTTCCTCATATTCAACATCTTCTACTGGATCACCTACAAAGTGCTGCGACACGAGGACATCCATGCAAATTTGTAAAAAACGCTCTCTGCCGACTCCAGTTGCTACGTTTTAGGTTTTTTTCTCTCAGAACCAAAACTGCCTGTCAGATCTACATTACAACGAGGAAATGTGTCAAGAGGCGTCTCTGCTTCTTAAAAACCATTGCTATAAAAACTTTGTGCTCAGGTGCGTCTTCAGGATCTCAGACCGAAGAGCGATTAAGCTGAAAGACGAGGTTAAGCTGTGTGGATTCAGGCTGGTGTTGTTTGTGAATGCCCTCTTGTGTCTGTCTTGGTTTGATTCGTGCGGATTACAACAGAGACAAAACACTGCTGGTTATTGGTGGGTTCGTGACCTTTGCTTGAGATGATGAGAGCTCAGAGAAGGCGATGTTGATTCTGGCTGGATGAGACAAACTGACTTGAATTTTGACACTGCGCATCTTTGAATGAATGTTTTTGAAAATTCAAAAGATTAAAAAAAAAGGTTTTTTTTTACACCTTTAGAGTATCTAATGGGTACCAATGGGTGCAGGGGAGGAATGGGTCTTTGATATTTATTATTATTCAGTAAGTGGTGATAATTCAATTAAGATTATATATATATATATAAAACAGTGTATAAAGTGTATAAAAGCTGTTCATTAAACTGCACAAAGCACAAATATGTATTTCCTTTTGTCTAAATTTAAATAAATTGTTATTCTGCCAGGAAAACAAATGATATGTTCCTCTTTAAGCTCAAGATTCAATTGATTACTTAAAAAAAAAAAAAAAAGCAGGAAATGCATTTTTTAAGTGCATAAGAAATTCAGTCACAGCATAAATGCATCACACACAGTTGCTTTTCTATTTTAGTCCTTAAATAGACCCCATCAGCTCCAAATCCAAGGAGGCAAGGAAAAACCTTCAAGGTGGAAATCAATACAATAAAGCAAACTGTAAATTCTGCAACTAAGTAATCCGTTCACATCAGTGGCTCTGGGTCTTTGTTTTTGTTTATTTATTTATTATGCCTGTAATTGTTAGCTGTGAACCCATACACTGAGATAATCAATCTAAGAGGAAGCTGGACAACTTTGCATAAGAGCTGCCATTTCTCTCCCAGTCTCAGGAGTGGCTTTGAAGGTGTGGAAACGCTGGGCTGCGGTGGGGGGGAGCATCACCAGCGAGGGAGGACGAATGGGTTTTTTAATGGGAAATCAGAGGGTTGTTTTATCAACTAATGAGTTTGAAAAGGGCTTGGTGTTCCACTGCTAATGACAATGAATTCAGAGAGGCAGCTGGAGCCTACTGTCCTTTTGTCGGCAATCCTAATCAACTCCTCTGTATTGTATGGTTCCCCAGGTAATGAAAAAGAGTGTGCGTGTATGTGTGTGTGTTTCCAAGCATGCATTTGTTGCTACTTTACCCTCTCTCCATTGTTATATTGATATAGATTTTCTAAATGTATCCAGTGTTCCATATTATCTTTTCAAATCACAGCCTTCTGAACTGAAATGAGGGAGTTCTCTTGCAGGTTTTTATAATGGGTCGACGGCACATGCTGCACGTCTTGCTGCACGGAGCGTAAAAAACGAGAGGAGCCGAAGATAGCTGATGGTTTGCAGAATAAGGACAGAATGGCTTGACATATTCACCAAAGTCCTTCCTACTGACAGCTTAAGTAGATTTATAAAAACAGAATGTGAGGGCATGCAAATGTCGAAAAGATTGGCTGTTGCTTGTCACTGCCGCTGCTCTCACTATCGCTGCTCTCACTATCGCTTAAGTCCCAGTTCTAAAAACAAACAACTCCAGAACTGAAAACCTTGGATTGGAGCCATTTTTTTCTTCAAGTCGATGATAAAAAGGACTAAGAATAGCTGCCATTTTGAATGTTAACACGCTACATACTCAAAAAACATCTTTGAAAATCAGTATGCAAATGTCAAAAACAATGACGATTGCACATCTCTTGCACTGCCTTTAAAATCATCAGACTCTTAAACACAAAAATGGTACTTTCTAATGAAACCAGTGGCTTTCTTATAGGTCAAAATTAATAAGGTTATAAAAATATACCATGTTGGATTTTCTTGAAAAACAGTTGTAGACTCATACAAAGGTAATCCCTCTCAATCATCCCCTAAGACCCACTCTCAGTGTGTGGTGGTGTATTTTTCTGCGGAGACTCTGCCCTCTGCCTGTATTTTCTTATTTTCTGGGTTCGGAACATTTATGGTGTGTACCTTCACAGTGCTCAGATGATGTAAGACTTTATAAAAAGATAGTCAGACTGTAAGCAGCAGGCATCCAAGAGAAACAACGACAAAATTAAAATGCAAATATAGTGAAGGGACACGCCAAACGAAAATGAGCCACTGACCCTGCCAGTGCCCCTCCTGCTTCTCTTTGCAGGGTGTCTGCAGGTAGAGATGGGTGGAGCCAGCGCCTTCATCATTTCTACCTGGGCGCAGCTGGGCCTAAGTTATTTAAGCCAGCTCCTCCTTCATCTACCCTTTGGTTTGCGTTCACAACACCACGCACACATTCCACATTACAAACAGATTTACAGACTACAGGTGAATTTATTATCTTTTTGGTTAAGTTTCGAATAAAAACTTTGTTAAAATTACTTGAATCTTGGTTGATCTCCCTCTTTATCAAGCTCACTGAGCCTGGGCTGTGACAATTAATGTGGTAAAAGTATACCATGCAGGAATTGTCGATTACTGTTGGTAAACAATATCTCCAGCAAATGTAAAAGCCAAGCCCAGGTTCACTTAAGTTTGCTTTTTTTTTTCGCTCCTGTGTCCACAGTTTTCATATCTTCCTCTTGGATGTGTATTGCTTGAAGTTAGGCACCTGGTTGCTATACCATTTTATAATATCCCAACCTTACCAAACAGTCTCTGCAGATAAAAACACCATCACACACCTCTAGAGGATCATAAGTGATGACTGAGTGTGATTAGTTTTGTATGTTTCCATACAGTCTATGGTCTAGATAGTGTTTTTTAAGAAAATCTTACATATTATACCTCTCAGGCTTTATAAATCAGTTTTAACCCATTAATGTGATTTACCTTTGAGTGGCATGTCCTAATAAAATCCCATTTGGTGGCATTTATCCTGCTCCAGCACGGCTCTTTGTCTTATTATCTCTTTGGTTTATCATGATGACACCTCAAATGGATGTTTCCACCATTTATCATCTGATAAACTGCCTTGTTAATGACCTACTAACATTTATTTATTCATTTTTAATTATTTACTATGTTTATGTTATGTACCAATACACCAAAGCAACTTCCTTGTATGTGAACATCTACTTGGCAATAAACTGGACTCTAATTATAGCAACTAACCAGATGGCTTACTGGAAAGTGGGAAACACTTCAGTATTTATTAATGGATAAATTCTAACTGAATTATTTGAAGGCAGAAAGGATAAACAATCAGCGACAGGAAGTTTTTAAAGCCTGGCAACACAAAAGTCGCTCTTTTAAATGTATTTTAACTTATCTATCATAAGAAAAAAAAAAAAAACTAATAATATAAAGAGGTTAAAATTGTAAATCCTTTATTAGAACATGGCACCACAAAAACGTAGATTCAAAATAAGGGTTGCAGCAAATAATCGTTTCATGATTGATGATTAATCAAAATTAAATCTATTAAATGTCAGAAAATTGTGAAAAATGCCCATAAATTCATTCAGTTCATTATAGTTTAATTACATACATATAAACACTATAAATGACGCTACAATAAAATGATCCCAGACCCAACACAAAGAAGCGGTATCACTGGTGGCAACATCACCTTAGTATCTACTCTCCTTTCACTATAACTCACTGATATTGTTTCAATCACGATGACAAAAACAGCACATTTGTGGCAACATAAAAAGCTTTTCCAAATCCACAAACCCTGACTGACGCACAAAAAATAGGCACACGATTTCAGATAACATTACGCTCCATCACCTCTGGCAGAAAACAGCGTGTCCCCTCACAATGTGTAATATTTCAAGGACACAGGAAGACTGATGGATTCCAATATTGTGGGATCTTCACGTGGCTGACTAGATCCACATGCTAACTTTCATTATGCACAGAATCCCAAGAGTGTGATGACTTGAACAAATGCACTCCCACAACCCTCAACTGGTCTCCTGTCACAAGGCACCGAAAAGAAAACCACAGCGATCAAACTGTCTAATCTATGAAAGCAATCTTTCAATGGAAGGATGGACCCAAATGAGAACATTAAATATTCATTGTTCCACAGGTTTTACACACCTCTGACGCTATGTGTTGTGTGCAGCTGGGTATTTGAAGACTTCCTCTGAGGAATGCCTCAGATTGTGTATAAATGAACATACAATGAGCAGGAGAGGAAAGAATGCACATTTGATGTAGCTGCTGGTCGTCATGTCCATGGTGTGCCCTTGCCGTCTCCCTCAGGGGTAATCAACATGCTCTCCCCCTCCTCATTTCAGCTGAATGTCAGTGGTGCCAGAGCTTAAACTGATGTGTGAGCTTTGAGGGAGCAGCCTAACACCTGCAATCAATACCGCTGTCCCTTAGAGCCTCCAGCTCCTTACCCTTTCATGGCCATAAAAACAGAAACACATACGCAGACACAAATATAATACTCCTATGTGTGGGATTTTCACACTCCATGAAATTTTACAGCAGCAGTTAGTTGTATGAGCTGTTATCTTTCAGTGGTGGGCTTTTCTCCTTAGTTGCTTTTAAAGATTTTTTTATTATCATTTAATAAAGGAAAACAATTCCTAATTACTTATTTCTCTCATGGAAAATGTCCTTTAATATCTTGAATGAAGGCAGACGCTTATTATTACAGTAACTGTTATGTGGTTATGTTTTGTTAAACTATCTTTTAAAGGAACAGTGTGTAACGTTTAGAGAGATTTAGTGGCATCTAGTGGTGAGAACCGCATACTGCAACCAGCTGAAACCTCTTCTGGTTATAATTACTTCAGTATTCATTGTTCAGGAGGTTTTTACCAGGAGCCGAATTATCCACAGAGGACTCTTCAGCACCTGCTAATGTGCAACACATTATCACTTTGACCTTGTCACATATCAACCATTGGTTGTGGACTTTCCACGTTGATATATGATGTGCAAGTTACCCTAAGTGCATTGGTTGTTCGTGTTCTGGGACGTTGTGTAGACTTCAGCCTGTTACATGCATTGTCTCCTTTCAAAATAGACAAAAATGCCAGTATAGCAACAGGAATTGAATTGACATTTTTTCCTAACACATGGGGTTGGGTTTAGACTCTCCTGGGTGAAAGTCGGTGTTTGTTGGACCCATCCACCATCCCTCCAACCCACCCCACTCAGACTTTACTTTCATTCTCATCCCGCTGCGTTTCCCCCTGACACCACCAAGTGCTGTTAAACCATATGGGCGACTGTCTGTGTGTCATGCCGACGTGAAAGAACGGCTTTGTTCGTCAGTGTCTGATGCCACAAGTCACTGCCAATGAAGAGCCCTACATCCAGGAGGTTTTTACCAGGAGCCAAATTATCCACAGAGATTTCCTTCTCTCCAAAACAAACAGACCAGGGGTCTCATTTATCAACATTGCATACACACAAAATGAGGCCTGAAAGAGGTGTACACCACTTCCCACACAAAAGCTGTGATGTATTAAAACAGACTTGATGGGGGAAACTTTGACCCATGCTTAAGGGCATTTTGGAGATGGGAAATTGGGGATAAAGATGGTGAGGTGGAAGCCTGGTTGTAGAAATTGTATTTTTTGGTACATACCATTTTTGGCTTTTGTTTGCATGTACATTTCTAGTATGGATTCTATGTATTGTTTTATAAATTAGACTTCAGGTTATTTAAACCAGTAAAACACCAAATTAAACAGTTTAACATTAAAAAAACAAACAAACAAACAAACAAAAAACGTTTTACCAACACTGCTCATTGTGGAGTGGCTGCTAACTATGGTAGCCGATGTCAAAACTCTAATGGTCCTATCTAGAGCCAGTGTTTGGTTTGTCTGTTCTGGGCTGTTGCAGAAACATGGCGATGCAACATGCCGATCTCCGTAGACGAGGACCCACTCCCTATGTAGATATAAATAGCTCATTCTAAGGTTTAAAAAAAAAACAAAAAAACCCACAACTCTTATTTTCAGGCGATTATACACTAAAGAAAACCTACTTATTATATTATATTCCATTTCTGCCAATATATCCCCCAAAATCCTACACACTGGACGTTTAACAACAGGTTAACATTTAGGGCAGGGGACATTTTACAGTGAAAATATTATAATTGTAGTGATGTATAATCAAATCTGTAGTACCAAACATCAGAGACATCCCTGCATCTCTATGAAGTCGTGTAGCCTCACAAACAGCATGCTAGATGAAGAAACAGCAGCCAGCAGGGGAAATATTGGTTTCTTTTGACAGTGATGTATTAATGAGACAACGCTACACATGTCACCTTTAAATATACGAGCGTAAACAGAGGAAACTGCTTGCTCCGTGCAGCATTATGGATGTAAACCTTGTGAATGTCACCCAGATTGTGCAAAATAGATATCCTTGCACTATTAATGTACCTTTTTTCCTGTGTGGGTGGTTTAATCTATATGCCCTGTCCATCCAGTGCTTTATGATCAAACTCAGGACAGGACACACTTGGAAAAGTCTGTGTTGGTTTCATTTCCAGTAGGATTTACTGTATATTAGTGTTTTAAAAGGGTATTTACATTGTTTTTTTCCCCATTGAAAATATAATTAAAAGAGAGATGATCTGTACACAACACTTTTACCTACTCAGATATAAATGAATATAAAAGAGACAGGTAGAAGGTAAAAGATTATACCTCTCCTAAAACCTCAAGGCAAGACAAACAGAATCACATTAATCACTGTACACATACAGTATTCACCACAAAGTGTTAGGTATGGGTTTTCAGGTCAGTATCTACATAAATCACTTGTCTTATTAAAATCTAATCACAGTTTATATCATGCCAGGAGCAGCACATAAATCCCCGAGCGAAAATTTCACCCAGAAATCTTGGCAGTGTGACCGTGTTGTCTGTAAGCTAACCATAACTCTTATGAATTATTTTCTGTCCTGTTTCTTTCTGCAGACTTATATTTACATTAGCGTACATAGGACTACTTATATTGGTCCCGTGTTTTAGTATTCTTAGCCATTTTTCAAACGGCAGTGGCAGCATTTGCATTTGAACACACGGTTGCAGCTTAAGGTACACATTAGCCTCATGTTCAATGAAACTGCTGCACACTCAGCCCCAAAAATATATAATGTCACAAGTCTGATGTTGGTAATAAATACTGAGCAGAGCAATGATAAACTGTAAACAGTGTGGGAGAGCAATGCTGGAGTTTGTAACCAAGGTAATGGCACATAGCTGGAGTATGACTTCATCTCTAAAACACAATGTAGAGTGATTTCTATTCGCCATCTGCAAATTTCCAGGGGAAAGATAAACAAAAGTAAACTATGACCCAGAAGTCCAACAAAGCCTGCCAGAAGGGACCACTGAAACAGAAAACACATGGTAGAATTCAGCATGCAGGTGAGACAGTAACAGAGCATAGGCAAAAATTAAGTGTGATTGAACCTCAAGACACACATTGCTTCCAAAATGGATGACACAACGCTCCGCCATTAAAAGGGATACAAAGCAACCCCTTTATCCGACACGGTAAAAGCTTTATAAACTAATTTCTTACCTAAAGGGAGCTCAGTAATACATTGCTGTGGATGGGGGCAGCAGCAAACAATATTTTAGCCACATAAACAAAATCACCAGTTTATTTATTCAGTTATTGTTCATTTTTGTAACTGCGTAGCCTGTTAGGGGTCGCAGGTGTGCTGGAGCCTATCCCAGCTGACAGTGGGCAACAGACAGGGTACACCCTGGACAGGTCACCAGACTAACACAGGGCTGACACATAGAGACAGACAACCATTCACACCTACGGACAATTTAGTGTCACCAATTAACCTGCAGGTCTTTGGACTGTGAGAGGAAGCTGGAGTACCCAGAAAAAGTCGACGTTGTCACTGGCAGAACATGCAAACTCCACTCCAAAGGGCTCCCCCACCCCAGGTTCCAACCAGCAACCCTCTTGCTGTGAGGCATCAATGCTAACCACTGCACCACACCAGTTTAAGTGAAGGCTTTATTTAGAATATTTTCACCCCTTTACCTTTTCGTCAGACAGCCCTTTCCTTTGGCACTAGATTTCTATTCTATTCCTACACACTGTATTACAACGATACATTTTTGTTTGAGCAATCTTTTTCTGAAAATTAAGTTGAATCAAGTTAAACAGCTGATCTGCGGCGTAATACAGAATGTTGCAAAATTGCACTTATGTGTAGACAGGCATGCCAGCCATTAGGAATTAGTAGTAGTGAAAATATTCAGAATATAGCCTACATTTAAACTGATATGGATTTTTGCAGGTGGGCCTTTTTTTTTTTAGGTGGCTAAAATATGCTTT